ACTTCACCTCTTAAAAAGACAAAAGGCATGATCACATGAATAGACATGCAACAAAAAAAAGATCTCCAAATGGCCAATAAATATCTGAAAAGGTGGCTCAACCTCACTGATCAAATCAAAACCACCATGAGATACTTTCAGAATGGCTAAGATTTAGAAGACTAATGATCCGGAGGAGGTGAACTCCGGGGCCTCCTATGCCACAAGTGCAGGGCCCTGGGAATTGATAAAACCACTGAGGAAACTGAGGCACCTTTTGCTGAAGTGAGCACATGCACACGATCGTCAAGCAACCTCCCGGGCTCTGTCCAAAAGAACCCGGGCACATGTGCTTCTGAGGACATGCCAGGACTGCTCCAGAAGCAGATTGTGAGCCCCAATGGGAACTCCTCAGATGCCAGTCACTAGCAGAATGAGCAACTCTTTTTTTTGTTGTTGTTGTTAAGCCTTACCAGATATTTTGATATTTTTTCCCATTGATTTTTCAGATTGGAAGGAGGGAGGGGAGGGGAGGGGAGGGGAGGAGAGGAGAGGAGAGACAGACATTGATTGGTTGCCTCCCTCACGTGTGTGAAGGGGGCTGGGGACAAATATGCAACCCAGGTACATGCCCTTGACTGAGAATCAAACCTATGACTCTTTGGTGCATGGGCCGGTGCTCTAACCACTGAACAACCAGCCAGGGCAGAAAGGACAACTCAGTCAACTCATTCCATGAGATACAGAATAGCCATGGAAGTGAACAAACACATTGTCGCTCCTGCAGTCACACGGATGAGTTGCGTGTACATAGTGTGGGAAGACACTGTTCCAGCCTCCCAGAGCCTGGCGTCTTTTTGAGGGCATGCACATTGTAAGAAGGAGTGCTATGGTTGCAACTTATCTCTGTCATTCTTCAATTTAAACTTTTTTTTTTTTTTAATAAAACACACACTCAAAAGGGAAAAGTTTGCCACTAGCAGACAAGCATTTAAAGAACTTTAAAGACTATACTTTTGTCAAAGGGAAAGTGATCCCAGATGGAAGACCTGAGATGCAGAAGGAAAGGAGAGCAGAGAAAGTGGTAAATGTGTGCGTAGTCTAAAAACTGAAACTATTCTATCTTATAAAAGAGTAAAATGCAAATTAACCACCACTCTGCTACATCCACAAGCCATGCCCACCAGCCATTCAGGAGTGAGTATAGAAATTAACCCAACCAAGATGGCTGCAGCCACGGAGAGAACAGGAGGCTTGGGTTTCCCCAGCAATGAAGGAAGCTAAACTTTCTGCATACTCTGGCCGCCCCAGGCCTCCACTCAAGGCTACAAAGTTTCAATTATAGAAGATAAATAAATCCCAGATACCAGGGCCTCCACTTGGCCACCCTGCAAACCACCACAGGTCCCTCTCCTCTCCCAGGCCACTCCACACCCCAAGGGAACACCCACCCCTGATCTGGGACACCCTTTAGGAAAAAACAACTGGCCCCCACCTATGCACCAGGCCTCTATCCTATCTAATAAAAGAATAATTTGCAAATTGACCATCACTCCAACACACATGATGGCTGCCCTATGTGGTCAAAGATCCTGCCCCCATGTGGACACAAGATGGCAGCCACAAGATGACCAGCAGGGGAGGGCAGTTGGTAGGGACCAGATATGCAAGGGAGCGGAGTTGTGGGCAATCAGGCTAGCAGGGGAGGGCAGTTAGGGGTGACCAGGCTGGCAGAGAAGGGAAGTTGGGGGTGACCAGGCCTGCAGGGAAGGGCAGCTAGGAGTGACCAGGCCTGTAGGGGAGGGCAGTTAGGGACAAACAGGCTGGCAGGGGAGCAGTTAGGCATCAATCCGGCTGGCTGGGAGTGGTTTAGGGGGTTATCAGGCTGGCAGGCAGAAGTGCTTAGGGGCAATCAGGAAGGCAGGCAGGTGAGCAGTTAGGAACCATCAGTCCTGGATTGTGAGAGGGATGTCCTACTGCCCATTTAGGCCCGATCCTACTGGAATCAGGCCTAAACAGGCAGTCAGACATCCTTTGAGGGGTCCCAGACTGGAGAGGGTGCAGGCTAGGCTGAGAGACACCCCCTCGCCACCCGTGCACAAATTTTGTGCACTGAGCCTCTAGTAAGCAAAATTTTGTCTTATGGGGCTTTAAAAAAATAGAATTAATATATGATGAAAGGAATTAGAGCAAAAATCTCAAGGAAAGCTAGACTATTGCCAATTTGGCCCAAGACAGTGGGCGATGTCTGTGGCTGGTGTCGCAGCTCTGCGGGCAGAAAAATTCCAGTTTCCCAGTCAGTTATCATGTGAACATCAGATAGATCATCCCCAGGACACCCAGAAAGTGGTCGCTAAACATTCACCGAGTCTGGTATCTGTGATTCTGTATTGCTTTTCTTGAAAAGATTCTCCCAAATTACATAAGCTGTAGGCCCCACAAAACCTGAATTTGTCTTCCATCTTGTCACCAACTCCCTGTTTGCTCAGAGAGAAAGAGTGGGAGAGCTGAGTGGCGGGAGGGCCCAAGAAGAAGGGACACTGAAGTGGACTGGAGTGCGGGCAGAGGTCTGATTGTCAGCTTGGTTCCTGTGCGTCATCCCTCTGACCCCTCTGCTCACAGGCCACGCATCACCACTGCCTGAACCCTAAGTGGATCTGAACCCCAAAGTTGGGGCCCTTTTTGGGGGGGACAAGCAGCAGTCTCTCTCCTGAACAGGCCTGTGCAGTCCTCTTGGACCTGCCTGCCATGGGAAATGGACCCAGAATGCCTCCTGGAGATCCTTGCCCAGCATTCGCCTGCCCATGGGCTGGGCTGGCTTAAATTTTGCTTCCAGGTAGCTCTATTTGATCATGTCCTTCTGGTCCTGCTCCACCAGGCTGTCAAGAGGAGGTGAGCGGTGCGGCCTTGCTCCCTGGCTGCCCCGGCTGCTGACTGCTCCCTGTGAGGCCTCCGGGTATGACCACACAGGGGCCCCTGGATCCCAGCCAGGTTGGGTGCGTGTGGATCAAGGCTTCTCTATGGACCCCCAGGCTCTCTCTGCTGGGCCTGGGGGGCAGCATACCTTAGTGAGGACCTCATGCTGGCCACAGGCCTGGGGCAGCCCCGGAACTCCCTGAGCCCCCTGGCTTATCACAGCCAGCCAGCTCCCTCTCACTCGCTTCCTCCAGCCTTCACCTCATCTGTGACGGGGGTTCTCGAGAATGATCTCAGTGCCGTGGGCGTAGCTGACTCAGGCTGTGGGCTACTGATGACAAGGAAAGCCTGTGTTTGGGCTCTGCTCGAGTTTACCACAAACCTTGCGGATAGACTTCTTGTGTCCCCAATAAAGTTTGCTTTCTTCTCATGCTTCTCTGGCCAGCCAGCCGGGACCAGGCCTCCAGAGGCCTTAGGGTCTTGCCTGGATGCCTAGAGGTTTCAGGCCCCAGCCCCCACCGCCTCCCTACTCAGCTGGTGGAGTCATTTTGCCAATAAGCCACAGCTGGAGTGCGGGTACCTGGACAAGGGTGGGCTCTCTTTCTCCCATAGGACATTGGTCAGTGTCTGAAGACATTTTGTTAGTCACATTGGGGGGGGGGGAGAGGAGGGGGTGTGCCACTGGCACCTACTGGGTGGAGGCAGGGCCTGCTGGTGTAGGAGTTGGTATGAGGAAAAGGGAGGGAGGGAGAGGGATTTACTAAAGGCTCCCATTTCGCCCTAGCTGGTTTGGCTCAGTGGATAGAATATTGGCCTGTGGACTGAAGGGTCCCTGGTTCGATTCTGGTCAAGGGCACATGCCTAATAGGGGGACGTGCAGGAGGCAGCCTATCAATAATTCACTGTCATCATTGATGTGTCTGTCTCTCCTAGCTCCCTCTCTGAAATCAATAAAAAATATATTTAATAAAATAAAATAAATGCCTTCATTTCCCCATCAAGGCCAGACGCTCTCAGGGCCCAGCTGGCTTCCCATCCTTATGTGGGGGTGACAGTAGAGTAACATAAAAGGGCAGAGGGGAGAAGTATGTGGAGGGACACCCTGACCCAAGGGTATTCTCACGCTGGCATCTGAAATGCACCATTTACTGGAGGCGTGGACAGTGGGTGGACTGGGCCAGGACCTCCTGTGGATGCTCAGGGTGCAAGGGACATGCCTGTCCCTTGGGGCCTTGCTCAGACCCATGGCCCTAGGGGTTCCTCTTCAGTGACCCTCTCCCTGTTATGTCCTCATTATCCTCCCAGCCCTGGCCCCTCCTCTGGGGTGAATCTCCAGGCAGCAGAATGTGCGACATAGTGTGTATGTGTGTGTGTGTGGGGGGGGGTGGGGGTGGGGGGAGGCATTGCTCAGATCAGGAGGGGCAGCAGAGAAATGAGCAGAGGTGAGGAGTGGAAGGACCAGTCTTCACTCCCAGGGACATGTGGATGAGACAGCAGCTCCACACAGAGGTGAAGGAGTGCCCTGCAGAGAGCGCTGCCTGCCAGTGTGCAGGAAGTGTGGCATAGGGTGAGGGCCAGCCATGATCTCCACAGCCCAGCACGTGTCTCCTGCAGACACAGCCTTCCACAAGCCTCAGTGTGAGTCAGACTCAGAAAGACAGAGTCCGCCTGAGCCCGTCCCAACCTGGCTGGGGAGCAGAGGATCCCTCTGTGTTTGGCACGGGATTGTCACACAGAGCTTCCTCCCACCTTCTTTAGACTGTGCAGCTTCCTCATCTGTTCCCACGTGCTCCACCTTGGCGCTTGGCTGTTTTCACACTAGGCCTGGTGTCTCCTGGAGGTGAGATTCCAGCTGGGTAGGAATGGCAGGAAGTGGAGCTATGCCTCTCTATGCGTCCAGCGGGGCACGGGGTAAATGTTTGTCTCGTTACTGGCCATTGATTGTTTAACCTTGCCCCACCCCTGCAAGGTTACTTTCCCTCTTTATTATAAATAAGTATTTTGTAGAAAAGTACTTGAAAACTAGATAAAGATCTCATGCTTCCTCAAACTTGTTTGTCTATTTGTCTGAGTATGAACTCACGAATTACAATTTTTTTCAACAGGGTGTAATCTGTTGCTCTCAGTACGCCCCGTCCAGCTGGCTCTCCGGGCATTGACAGTGCCCAGGCTCTTGATGGCTTCCCAGCCATCTGATGTGTCAAGATGTTCCAGAAGCATCGGGTATTTTTCCTGCCCAGACTGGAATCGGCTGTCTCTCCAAGGAATCCTGGTTACTGTTAGAGGAAGATGGTATTTAGAAACCACAATCTGGGTGTTGGGGGTGCTCCTGCTCCCACTGTCCAGATTCAGCCCTCCCAGTGAGCAGAACTGGGCGTGTGTGTGTGTGTGTGTGTGTGTGTACAGATAAGTGTGTATGTGAGTCCACACTCACACATATGTACACCCGCATGAGTGCATTCACTCACTCACACACTCCTTCCATCTTTATCTGCCAGTGAGTTTCCCTAGTCAGCCACTGGCTGGCTTCCTTCCCTTGTCGAGCGGTCTGTTTTCACCTCATTGACACCCAGCATTCTTCACTCGGTCCAGGCCAGGATTCCAGGCCCGGAAGAAGCATCTCCCTCAAGCCTGTAATGTGACGGAGGGAGCACTGGCTCACCCGGAAACCTGGATGAGCGGCAGGACTCAGTTTGCCATGGAGGTTCTTCCAACAGATTTCTGGCCTTAGCTCTGCTCTTTATAAGAGCAAAAGTTGAAAACCCTTCCTGTGCATCGATGAGAGAATGGTCCCTTGACCTGTGGCTTGGGCATCAGCCATCGAATTCTTGACTCCTGACTGAGGGCCGGGTCAGAGGGCAGGGAGGTAGTTCTCCCGTGAAGCCTGTGGAGGTGAGAGGAGAGAATGCTTTGGAAAAACAGCTTAGACTTGGCCCCAGGACAGCACAGGAGGAGAGAGCACTCCGCCCCGTGTCCCTGGGGGTGCCGAGACTCCTTGTTTGCTGGGGTCATGATGGAGCCCCCAGCTTCACTCCAGAAGACACCCCACACCCTTGCTGTGGAATAGCAGTGCCTTCTGCTCACTGGACTTGCTGTAGAGCAGGGGTGGGGAACGTCCGGCCCATGGGCCATAGGAGTCCTGAGAAATCATTTGGTCTGGCCCTGCCAAAGCATTAGGAGTGAGTTAATTAAATGTTTAAACAAATATAACAGGGTAGTTTTTGATAATTTTGTATGGCCCAAAATGATGTTATAGATATTCAAATGGCCTTTGGCATTAACCAAGTTCCCCACTCTGCTGGAGAGTAAGGGAGGGGCAGAGAGATGCAAGTCCCATCAGCACCTCTAGTGAGTCGGTGTTTGCCGGCCCTGCCTTCCCTCTGCTGCTGCAGGTGCGCCTGTCTCCACCTGGATGTGTCAACCAGAAGGGAAAGCACTCCTGACTCCGGCCCATTTCCTTTGTTGAGGCGCCTGGACAGGGTCGAGCCTGTCTTCCATCCTGAGAGATCCCTATTTGCTCAACCGACTACTGTGCTCTGGCCTGTAGGATCCCATCCTCCTTTCTCCCCTGGTTGGGCAACAGAATGGCCTAGCTGGAGCCATAGCACTGAGGGGCAGGTTTCCACGAGGGTCAGATAGAGAGGCAGGATTAGATCCCCAAGCTCTGACCTTTCTCCCCACCCCACAGGGCTGGATGGGTTCCCTAGGCCCCAGGGCCCCCCATCCCCAACAGCTTGCCTTGAAATTAAAGGGGTGCCGGGGTAAGAGAACATGGGCCAGAGTGATCAGGAGTCAGGAAGCAGGTTCTGACTGGTGCCGAGGCCCTCAGCCTTCACTCCATCCTGCCCAGGTGGCCTGGACCCCACTTGTCAGCCAGCCCTTTCTCAGCTGGAAGTTCGTGGTGCTAGTCCCCAGGTAACTCCTACCGAATCGAGTTCTGACAGTACCCTCTCAGGTGTCAGAGGGGCCTCCTTATCCCACAGTAGTGGTGGGAGACCAAAAGCTGTGAACCACACACTTCATGTCAGTGAAATGTATGGTATGTGAATTCCATCACAATGAAGCTGTTACTTGTTCTAGTTGTAATAAATTAATGAAAACAGCATAACTCTTGGTACTTGAATATGCTTTCTGTCGCTCCTTTGCTCTTTCAACAAATAGATGTAGAAGGGAGGTCAGCACCGTCTTCATCTCCAACTTCCTGGTGAGGCTGCCATGTGACGGGTTCAGTTGTCCGGGTTGGACTGGGTACTCTGAAACTAACCCACCCTGGCGAATGAGCAGCTGCAGTCAAAACCATTGGTTTAAATCTGCCAGGGCCATGCTTATAAAGTTTTTTCAGGCCTTGTTTACAAAATAGCTCTTGGTTAAAAAGTGGAATCCAGCAAGTACTGGCAGTCCACAACTTAGCAAATTATGTTTCTGGAAATGGTGGTCTAACCTGAGATGGTTTATACTTAATCACATTTTGCCGCAGGAGAAACTGCCATGGTGCTGCGGAGGGCAGGATGCCCAGCCTGGCTTCGAAACAGAAATGGCCACGAGCACTGAAGTTAACCGATTGTTACCTGCCTTGCAGTTTCCCAGCTGCACAGAACCTCGTTCAGAAGGAAGCACACTAGAGAAGTCCCCGTGCTTGTAACTCCTGCGGCTCCTTCAGACAGTAGAGTCCAGGACTCAGAGCTTCCATCTTGTATGGAGAGCCAGAGCCCGTGGGGGAGCTTACATATGTAAGGAACTCTGTTTTAGGGAATTGGCTCTCACGGCTGTGGACTGGCAAGCCTGTGTTCCTGGGGCAGGGCTGAAGCACCAGCAGCCGACGCTGCTGTCCAGAGGCAGACTTGATTCTTCCTCGTGGAAACCTCAGTGTTTCTCCCCAAGTCCTTCAGCTGAGTGGGTGGTGGTCTCTGTTACCGGAAGTCGGGCACAGAGGTTAACCATGTCCACAAATACCTTCACAGCAACATCCAGGTACGCGCTTGATTGAATCACCGACACGACAGCCTGGCTCAGCCAACACGTAAACCTGACCATTCCCGGTCCCAAACTTGGCATGGGACCCTTCTGCCCTTCCTCTGAGGGCCCTTTCTTGTCAGCCCTGTTGGAATTCTGCCTGGATGCACAGCACTCAGCACGTCTGACATTTCCCTGCTCCTGGTCTGTGTGCCTTTTGAATCATCGGCTCCCAGTACAGTGTGAGCTCCGGAGAGCAGGGAACTTGTCTCTCATTCGCAGCGGTCCCTATTGTTCACAGTGAGCAAGTGGATTATGAATTCATTCCCTCTGGGGCTTTGCACACCCTCATTGCCCACCAGATGCTAACTGTGATGGTGACACTGGAGATGACTGGGATGTGCATCGTGAGGCCAAGACACTGAAGGGCAGCACCCAGACAAGCCCTGAAATGGAAGCAGCAGGTCGAATCTGGCATCTTTCCAGCTAGGCCTCATGGGCTGGAGTATCTCACCTCCCAGGATGGCTGAGGGCTTCAGTGTAAAATGGTTCAAGTCCCAGCCCTACACCTGCTAGCTGAATGACTTGGGCAAATCACTTGTCCTCTCTGAGCCTCACTGTTCCCATCTGTGAGTTGGGCACAGTAATACTGGTAACCCCCAGGTTGTTGGGAGGGAGAATGTGATTGTGGGCTGGGTCGCCATGGGCAGGCGGCCCCAGGCAGAGGCCAACGGGGGCTGTTTGGGAAGCCAGAGGTGGCTGGTGGGACATTTTCTGCCTGGCTGAGAAGAGCTGAGACAGAAAATTGGAAACAATGAGAAAGATATTGCAAAGGAAGAACTGATGACTGAAAGGGAGGGACAGATCAGGATTTGCTTTTTTATTTTATAAATATCTGGGTTTTGATAATAAGAGAAACCCATGCTCATTGCAGAAAATCTTAAAAAGACAGAAAAGCAGAAAAAGATAAAGGCCACCCATAATCCTGCCATGCAGACATCCCTCTGTGGGGTTGCTGTAGCCAGCTCAGTCTTCACTCCCACCCCAGACACAAGGCTTTGCTTCAATTAAGATGATTTAAAACTTCTAATAATTATATTTTAATGCACTAGTCCTCTACTTTGATGATTTTATTTTATCAATTCTAGATAAAGTGCTCATATCTAAATATGCATTTATATTTAAACCCTGTGGAGTGGGCTGCTGCTGAGCCATTTCACAATGTTCTCTAATTTGCCATCATGGATCTCTTCTGGAGATTCCAGGGGTGACTGGCAAAGGTTAACAGCATTTTCAGGGCTACAGATACACATCAAATTGGCTGCAGTCACAGGCGTGAGTGCATGGGCCTGTCTCTGATGCTCCAGCCTCCAGGCCTTCCCAGGAAGCCCTGTGATGGGACCAGGGGATGGATGATGGCATCTCTGATATGAGTTTCAGTAATAACACTTCCAAGGACACTGCTTGTTTTAAAGTATTTAATTCTGATCATCATCCCCATGAGAAGGGTACTATTATCTGAATTTTAGCAATGCATACACCGAAGCTCAGAGAGGTTAAGCAACTTGCCTTAATGGCACAGCCAGTAAGTGGTGAAGTCCCATCTGAATCCAGGCAGCTGGCTGCAGTCGGTCTTGAACACGTGGTGTGGGAGTTGAGGGTGTCTCTCTTTTCCTCCATCAGCCCACTGAAAGAGGGCCCAGAGATTTGCCTCCAAAGGCTGGAACTTTGGGGTGTCAGTTCTGGAACCAGGAATCTGAGCTTGGGGACATGTCTTTTCAGTCTCCCAAGCGAATGGCTACTGACACCTATTTCTTGAAGGTGTCTTAGTTAAGAAGAGAGAATATCTAAGATCCCAGGGACTCTGGGAGGGTTGTATGACTCTTGTGTGACCAGAAAAAAATCCTAATGCTAGCCTCAAGCGGTCAATGCAGTTAGATGGGAGCAAGAATGAGATCATGTGTGTGCATATGTGTGTGTGCATGCATGTGTGAGTAAGCATGGGTATGTGTACCTATGTGATCGAGCATATAAATGAGCATGTGTGAGGGTATGTGTGCATGTGTTAGTGAGCATGTGTGTGTGAATGTGTCATTGCTGTTATCTCTTCCTACATCTACCATGGAACTCCCAGCTAGTGCATGGTAGGAGCTCAGTGCCTACTTCTGGGGTGAATGACAGCATATCAAGCTCTCATGGCTCAGTTTTCCTGTAGCTCATGAGAGCTGAGGACACCTTGGTAAGTGGACAGAATGGGTAACTCAGGGGCCCTGGGGTATGAGAGGGCTCATGAGAGGTGGGCTCAGATGTTTGGCAAATCCACTGGACCTCCACTGGGCATGTAAATCGCTTCTCAGAGTTTATTGGTCAGTGGGTGCTATTTACATGTTACAGACACTGGGACTCTGCAAGGAAGGATATAAACTGAGCATCTGCAGACAATTGGGAGTGGGCTGGAATTTACTGGCTGGCTTCTCCCCAGTAAATGGCCCCCACCCTCCCTGAGCCTGAGGGTGAGATCTGAGCCCTAAACTCCTCCAAAGTACCCCCCAAAAGGAGCCCAGCAAAGGTCACCCTGAGACCAGCAGGCTGGTCACCCCTAGGGAGGACTATGTCAGGGGAGTAAGAATCCAGTGGGTTAAGAAAACCAAAAAGCCTTGCAAAGAAGCATCTTCTAGCCTCTTCCCCACATGCTCCAGTTTATTAAGGAGAAAGCAGGAGGGAAGCCAGATGGAGACCAAGAGTTGGTTCTTTGCCCCCAACCACAGCCCAGTCTGTGTCCCCAAGCGTGCAAGGCTGATTTCACTCAGATCCCTCTTAGCCAGGCAAAAGCAGGGTTAAGTGTGTGCGAGGGGAGAGGGAATCCCAGACTGCCTGGAACTTGAAACTTCCCCGCTGAGCGCGAGCCAGTCCAGGAGAGCAGAGTCAGCGCCCTGCGGCTACTGCGGGCACCTGGGCCAATGTAGTCAGGGAGGACGCGTACATAGCTGACCCGCTACACGCCACACGCCCCACAGCAGGACACGCGGCAGACACCCACCGCTGCCTCCAGGGTAAGTGCAGGCTCCCTAGCTTGGGAGCCGGCTCTGGCACTAGCCGGGACATCGGAAATTAAGTGCTTTCTTTAGGAGTTTGGATATGATGCTATTGGGCAATGCACATTTTTAAATTATTATTAATGCATTCAGACTTGCCATGAAATTATGTGACAAATGCAGTCTGGGAATATCTTTAAGCAAAACAAAGCATTGTTTTCCCGTTGAAATTCCGAGTGTTAGACAAAATGCAGGAGCTCAGAAACAGGGATTCATTTGGTAGGAATAGCGATCTGTCTGCAGTTTGATCTGATGCAGTGAATGCTTCCTTCTTCATTAAGGTTTTCTATCAATTACTGCTTTATCCTTTCCTTTTGTGACATGTCCCTGGTGACAGGCTTGTCTCTCGGCACCCGGGTTCAGACATGCCACAAACAAACTCGATTAGTTAGACTTTTTGTTTTGTTTTGTTTTTTGCTAAATGTGCATCTTGTTACGGCTTTTCTGACCAAGCATGGAGGCAGGGCTGGGTCCCCGCAACTGACCAGGAACAGAATTGGGGTTCAGCAGCTTGCAGTTGTACGCAAGCTGCCGTAAGCATGCTTACGTACTGATAATAAGCTGCCTTTACAGTGTGTGTGAGCTTAACAGCCGCTTTATCTGAGCAAGTTTTCAAAGCAGGTCTCTTCCTGGTGCTTATTGACATGTCTGTTTCCCATTATCAGCTGGGCAGTGAACGAAAGTGACAATCGTGGTTTCCGCACATAAACTTCCTGAAACTCGCTGGTTCTTCCATGACATGCAAGCTCAACCCAACGCTCTCACCCGATGGGGGCGGAGGATGGCCGTCCTCCCCGGGCCTTGAGCTTCCTAGCGGGGAAGGATGGTGGCTGCATTGTTAACAGGGATGCTTGGAGGGAACTTGAAAGTCAGGACAGCAAGGGAAATGGATGGGATTCGCCAGGGCGGTTTCAGAGTTCTCCCCAGTGTCATTACGCTTTGTGTAAAAATCTGGATGATGCGAAATTGTGGTGAGCTATTGCCATGTGTTGGCGATGCCTCATGCCTTCCGCGGCCTGAGCTGTAATGGGAGTGAGGGCGGAAGTGGCTTTTTGGTTGTTGAAAACAT